AGGGCGGCGCAGCGGCGCGGCTCGGCCTGGAAGGGGCGGCAAGCCGAGCGGCAACAGCCGCTCCTTCGTCGCGGCCGCCGGCGGCCCGACGGCGCGCGGCGACCCGCAGTGGAGCACGGGGCGCGAAGGATGCGGCTGCGGAGGATCGTGGAGCTGGGCCCCGAAGAGGGGCTGTCCCGAGCGGCGGGCGGCGCCACGAAGGGCATGGAGGCACGGGCGGCAGGGGCTGCCTCGGATGGCTGGCGGCCGAGCACGGGCGGGCCCAGGCCTCGGGAGCGGCGGGCGGCGGCGGCATCCACACCTGCCGCCGAGGCCCTCCCGCGGCGGGGTTGTCGGGCGAGCTGGGGCGAGGGCGGCGCCGCGCAGGCGGGCAGCGCAGAGCAGCGGGGATCGAGCATGGCAGGGAGCAGGTCTGCAGGGCACTGCCCGAAGGGCAGCGGCACGGAGCGCGCAGCTGGGAAGGCCAGCGGCCGAGCAGGTGCGAGCGGCAGCGAGGATGTTCCAAGCCGGGACGGGGACGGGCGGAATCAGTGTTTGGCTCTCGCAAGCTCAGGTTTGTCAGCGACTTCTCTTTCGGGTCGCCATCGACCTGGCGATGGGTTGCGAGGCGGCGGGTGCCTACACTGAGGCGGCGACGAGCGACCTCATCGTCGTGCCGCCGCAATCCCAGGGCGCGGCAGCACGCCCTGCGCCGCGGGGGCGCCAAGCTGGACCAGAGCGCGCAGCACGGATTCTTGGGCGCGAAGGTCCGCTCTCCAGGCCGAGTGGCGCGGCTACAGCCGTGGAAGAAGAAGGAGGCGACAGCGGACGCGGGCTTGAGCTCGGCCGCGGTGTTGCTGGATACTCGGAGAGCTCAAGCACGAGCTCGTCAGTTTGGCCATCAGCGGCGGCTCCGAGGCGCTGGCAGCCCTCGCGGCGTCGGCTTGCGGCGGCAAGCGCAGGATCATTGTCGAGGGCGCCGTGGCGGGGGTCTGATACCTCGAGGCGGGCTTGGTGGCGGGCTGGCAGGCGGGCCGCATGCTCAAGAGCGCCATGCCCGCCATGTCAAAAGAGCTCGGGCGGGTGGGGAAGGGGCTGCGGCCGCTGAAGCCCTTGGGCATCATAATCGACGACACGACGCTCAGCACGCGCGGTAACGGGGGGGGAGACAACGGCGTTCTCGCCACCAAGACGATGGTGGACGTCGCGGCTCGGCTGCAAGAGTTGGTGTCGACTCCTTGTGTCAAAGAACTTGATGTCGGCGCCCCACGACGACATGGCCGTACTGACGTGAGCATATATTTCGTTGGCGACATGGGTTGGGAACATGGTTTGGCACAGGCGGCAGATGTGCTACAAATTTTGCTCGGCGTTGCGTGGCTGACGGATAGCATAGATGGCGTTCGTGCCGACCTCTGACGCGAGTCATTGTGCCAGGCAGATCATTCGTCAAGTTTTGGCTCCCGACGTTTGCTTTGGGGGGTAATTGTTGGTCGACGGTCGCAACGAAGGGGCCTCCTGCTCCCTTCCTAGTCGAGGGGGAAATTTCTGGCACTAGCACATGCAGGCGTTCGATTCTGCCCGGCCAAAACTGTAGCAGGTGTCCCAGTTGCCCGTTGCATCCGCAGGGGGGGGGCCTCAGGAGAGGTAGATTATGCCCACTTCGCCCCTCCGATGCGCGTGTTCCTCTCCGTCCTGCATCTTACCGCTTTGCCCCTCAGATGTCCTCCCAGCTCCATCCTTCTTTTTCCTTTGGCGCGGCGCAAGCAGCCTAGACTACAGCCGTTCGATACCTATGTGAGAAGTCCACGGGCAACTTCCTCCGAAGCCTCGTCGAGCGCTGCGGTTTCTGCTGCAAACACGCTGCAACGCGGGTGCAGAAACGTGCAGTTCCTTCCCTCCTCCCTGGTTCGTCCCCCTCTTCGTCCCTCCTCCCCTGCCGTTCCCGTTGCTGGACCAGCCGGGCGTTCAGGCTGGGGTGCGTCTCGCGGAAGGAAGTCGGAGGAGGCGCCCATGCGCTCTCCCGCTGTGTCAACCTGACCTTCCTCCTCGGTCGGTGGGTCGGTCGTGCGGCCAGAAGGTCGAAGCCGATACCGTCGGGGCGCTGAAGGAGGAACCCTTTTTCGTTGGGGAGGGGTTCGGTGTTCCGTAGTTGTTTGTTACACTGTGCGTTAGGTTTTCCTGTGGCTGTCGATTGGAAGTCGAAGTTCAACTGATGGGACAAGGAGGCCTCGTTTCTTGTTTAGGGTTCCTTAGGTCAACGCCCCGACTGCATGGGAGAAAGCGGCAGAGCAAGGGCATCAGCAAGGATCAGCAAGCTGAGGCCGCGCCACAGGGCGCATGCAGCAAAGATAGGAGCTTGCCTGAGTTACGCACCTTTGAAAGTGAGTCTGCACTGGAGCAGAGCGCGAGGGGAATCACAAGGGGGCGGAGAAGAGGAGAGCCTTGGCTGCAGGCAGGTGCAGGTACTGTTGGAGAGGCAGCGAGTCAGCACGCACAGGGCTGACGCCTCAGAGCTAATACCTTTGAAACCGTGGGTGTACACGTGAGGAGACGATTAGTCCCGTCGTTACATTCACACTGAAGCCTTTCCCCTTGCACCAGCTCTCTCCTGAGCAGCAGTCCATGGACAGGGACAGAGAAGAAGAGAGATGCTCGGTCCTCGCTAACATAGCACATAACCGCTCACGGGGCATTCCTGTGCTTATGTAACGTGCAGTCCGCGAACACATCCGTGTTAATAGATGTGCCCCTGGGAACATAATACGGTCACAGGCCCACCGGTCATTCCCAGTCATCTTTTAAGCCTCCAGGTCGATGGAGGCCCGCAAGGCAGCCTCACAGGCAGAAGACCAATGAAGCGAAGAGGGGGCTCCAGGAACAAATGCGCCACCAGCAGGTCTTGGGTCGGTACTAGAGGGCCGTAGGGCAATGAGAAGGAACGTTCTTCGAACATATTGGAGTATCGTGGAAGCCATGACGAGACAAAGTCCTGCAGGGTACGTTTTAGCAACTGCCGTCCCCCAAGTGTTGTCAGCACCGAGGCCCCACAAAGCAGTGTGGGTCACAGAGTGGTTACTAAAGGGTCCCCCAGGCATAGCTGAAAGCCTTTGCTGCATAGCGGATATGTGAACGCAGAGCAGCAATGTGGGCTTCGTGACACCCGCACCGAAACGGCACTGGTCAATCCTGTGCTTGACTACACCTTGCCTCGCCTCGAGAGTCCTCACTTCTGGAAGCAGCCAGATACTGGGGCAAGCATCAACACGGATGGAGTGAGCGGGATGATCCAAAATCGCAGGCACACAATGGACCCAACACTCGTGAAGAAACAGAATCGCAGTGCGCAGAAGCCGATGACCCAACTCAACCTGGATGTCTTCCCGAGAGGCAGGTGCCTCAGCCCCCGAAGATGATCATCCGAGCGGAGAGGCCCCCTCCTCTTCCTCCTCCGCCTCCTCATGCTCTGCCTTCCTTCCTCCTGTATCCTCCTCTCCCTTCTCCTTCCTTCTCTTCACCGTGCTCAGTCATCCTCCTCACTCTCTGGCTTGTCGTCATCATTATCACCACCATCACCTTCATCGTCGCCATCATCATCAGCATCGTCATTCGTCGTCGTCATCGTCGTCGTCCTCCTCCATGTCAGCCTCAGGAGCAAAGCGCCCGTGCAGAGCATCCACGGGAAGCTCCCCGACGAGTCCGACTACATGAGCAAGCGGAGCCCAGGCCCCTGCAATTACTCAATCAGCACGGACGCGTACAAGACCAAGGCGCCGGTTCAAAGCATTCACGCGAAGCTCCCCGACGAGTCCGACTACATGAGCAAGCGGAGCCCTGGGCCAGCAAATTATTCATACGATACGGACGCGTTCAAGACGCGTGCCCCTGTACAGTCGATACACGCCAAGCTTCCGGACGAGTCCTTCTACATGGCTAAAAGAAGCCCAGGCCCATGTTTTTATAACGGCGCTGCTGCCTGCGCGAAGAAGCAGTCATGCGTAGACAGCACCAAGAAGCGGACAACATCCTGTACTTTCCGTGGCCCAGAGAGGTTCAGCGGCATCCAGTACGAGCTGTGGACGAATGGCGCCCTCAACCGCTACGGATAGTGAGGGGGGGCCCAGAGCCGGCCCCGGCAGATTCGATTCTGAGACGCGTGGCACCACCAGCAGCCTTGCGTAGATAATTCCAACCAGCTTGAAACCCAGTCCCCCTCCTCCTCCTCCTCCTCCTCCTCCTCCTCCTCCTCCTCCTCCTCCTCCTCCTCCTCCTCCTCTTTGCCCTCCTCCCCAGACCACCCATCCCCATCCTTCTGCTGCTGCTGGTCCTCCTCCTCCTCCTCCTGCTCCTCCTCCTCCTCCTCCTCCTCCTGCTCCTCCTCCTCCTCTTCCTCCTCCTTATGCTCATCATGCTACTCCTTCACCTCCTGCTCCTGCTTCTGCATTGTGTTTTTTGGCCCAGCCCACCGCGGCAGCTGGCGCCATCGTCGTTGGTGCCGCAGCTCCTTTGTCCAGCCGCTACTGGATCCCCCTTGCCGCGCGGCTCGGGGACGGGCCCCGTGTCACGCCCGTTGCACCCTCGCCTCGCGCAATGCGGAGAGGGAAGGGAGGAGGAGAGAGAAGAGGAGAGGAGCGGAGAGGAGGGGCGACGAGCGGAGAGGAGGGAGACGAGGAGGAGGAGGAGGAGGGGGACGAGGAGGAGGAGGAGGACGAGGAGGAGGAGGAGGAGGCAGAGGGGAAATGGTGGAGGTGTTTGTCGGTTGCAGCCTTGCGTGATGGGTCGAGACTCGGCGAGCAGAGCAGGGCTGGGCAGAGTATCCGTAGATACCCTGCTCGGCACAAAAGTGATGCGTTCATCAGAAAGTCAAGAGCGCGCGGAAGAGTAGGCAATGCCTCGCAAAATCAAAGTACAGGCATTTGGCAAGGAGCACGTTGAGCAAATCAAATGTAAGGTTGCCTGGCTGGCACGGGAGGGACGCAAACGAAAGGGGGAAGGAAGCCGTTCCAGACGGGACAGCCTTTGTGGGTTTGTGGGGGGATACAGCGTGCTGGCTGCCTAAGCTCAGCCATAGAAGGTGCCGCGCCAAGATAGGTGACTTGCGGGCAGCGAGACAAGAAGCCTGACAGAGGGCATGAAAGATGCAGGCGCGTGCCCGCCCTCCTCAGGAGAAGCATCGAGTGAGCGGGTATGGCAACGACCAGACCGCCGATGCTGACGCAGAGGGCACAGAGGACAAACATGTGCGCTGCGGTGTCCCCTGTGCCGATGCGTCCGACACCCGACAGCATTGGCGGGCAGCTGCGCGCAAGAAGAGGTCTGGGCAGATGCTCGTGGCCTGCGATGCCGCCGCGTGGGACCCGCGGGCACGCCGGCAGGCCAGCAGCACAGCCAACTGGGCAAAAGGGCAGAAGGTGCTTGGCCAGACGCCACGGCCTTGAAGGGCACCAAGCCCAACAGTGCTGTGGGCATCTATCAGCCGCCTTGAGAGGGAGGCGTAGGGGGAAAGCGGATGAAGAGGAGGAGGCGTTAAAGGTGGAGGAGGAGGAGGAGGAGGAGCAAGAGGAGGGAGAATGACGGATTCATTGGTGCTCCGCGGGTGCAGCCTTTCCTTCGGCGACCACGTCTTCCGCACCTTGGTGGTGAGTGCCGGGGTGCAGCCTGTGGCAGCGAGATGAGCAGAGCGCCGAAGTCCAGGCGAAGAAGCAAGGAGGAAGAGGGACCGGGAAGCAACGGCAGCAGGGGCGGCGGAGGGAGGGGGACGGCGGAGGGAAGAGGGGAGCAGGCGCAGCCACACCTACATTGTATAAATTTGTTGTTGGTGGGCTGGTGTTGCATGCTTTCTACGTGTGGTGAATTAGACCAGCCACCTTGTGTACAATTCTTCCTTCTGGGAGACCTTGAGCAGACGATGAAATGATTCCTCAAGAACTGTTGACGCCTCGTGCACCCTTACTAGCCAATCGAACGACGGCTCCTTTGCCAGTTGCAGTGAAAATTGAAGCAAAGAGAATTTACCCAGCCATCTTGGGGCCCTTTGCGAGGCTTGCGGGCTCTCTTGAGGGGCCATGCTACAGGTCGCCGTTCGCAAGTATTTGAAACATGGCAAATGCGGCCCTCTTAGGGTGCCCTTTCGCGCCTTGGCACTCTCAGGGCCCTTATGGCGCATTTGGTGTCCAGGGTGGTAGGCAAAAAATTGTTGAACAAGTTAAAGGGTCTCATTTGATGTTGTGTCCCCAGCCCCACCCAACAGCCTATTAAGGGGCCCCTGAGAGCCTCTTCGGACCTGCTGAGATGCGGTCTAGGACGGTATGGCTATATTAGGAGCGCATAGTGCCGTCAGGAGATGTATTGTGGCTGCCTCGATGCGTCTTATGGCCATCTGGAGGGAGTCCCGTTGATCGATCCTCAGCCGTGTAGGAGCTACTCTGGGCAGGTTTTGCGTCTGGAGTCCATCCAGAGGCTTGACCTGGGGTCCGAGGGGAGCGCATTGTGGAGAGTATTGGCCATATGGGACATAGGGTGTACCACTGACGTGGAGGTAAACTGACGCATCTGTTCTTGGAAGGCTATACCGCGTGTTGAGGCGTTGAACAAGAAGGGAGATCCCATGACATCAGTTGTGTGGGAGGCCCGAACTTCTGTGCCGCACGGAGCACGCATTGTGTTCAAAAGAACCCAGATAGGTTGTTGGACACAGGCCTATCGCGTTGCAAGCGCGATGACGGAGAGCCAATGAGCAATGAGCAGTAAACCAAAGGCATCTAGAACAAGGTTGGGTGAACAGAAGGGAAATAGCTCTAACAGGTGATCCACAAATTAATGAGCTCATGGTCGGCAGCTGGTGAGCAACGCTGCCGAGCAACGGCAAGCAGCAAGCAGGGGACACGGGACCAAGGCGGCCACTGGCCACGAGTATACGGGGACGGCGGCCACGGGGGTTCTGGCGCCATTGGGCAGGTCACGGGCCAATGCGTCCATTGGACGGGCCACGGAACACAGCGGCCATGAGCCACGGGGCTTGTGTGTAACGAATGCAAGAATATGAGGAGGAGGAGGAGGAGGAGGAAGAGGAGGACCCCCCTTATGGAATGGCAGAGGGCCCTGCAGCCATCAGTTCTTGATGGGCCCCTGCACCCTGCAGCATCTGGCGCGCTCCAGAACGGGCCCCGCCTTCGGCGAAGCTCGCCTCCGGTGGAGGCCACAGGAATTCAAACGGCGGCGATTCCGCCAGCGGAAGGCGTCGGAAGTACCTCCTCCTCCTCCTCCTCCTCCTACTCTTCCTCCTCCTCCTCCTCCTCCTCCTCCTCCTCCTCCTACTCTTCCTCCTCCTCCTCCTCCTCCTCCTCCTCCTCCTCCTCCTCCTCCTCCTCCTCCCACGTTCACGCAAGAGCCTCGAGGGCGAGGCCCCTGCTGGAGCGTGAAGAGGACTAGATCCCGCGTTTTCGCAGTTGGGCATTCGGCCGTCCAGTGAGTGTGGTGCATAGCCATGCTGTGTAGCGCGATCTGATGTTCAGCAGTGGCAGCGAAGAGGCTACGAGCAGCCAAAACCGAAAGCCGCCGCGTGCCAGTGATTCTCTGGACGGCCGACTTCGCTGACCGCCAGCTGGCCAGGTCGGGGGAGAAGGAGGGGGAATTGGAGTCTTCGGTTTCCCTTCTTCTCCCCCTCCCCTGCCCCTTTTTCAACTTCCCCTCCCCTCACCCTCATTCAATACTTCCTCTTCGATTTGGAAAGGAGGAGGGGGAGTGTGACAGGGGTGATGGGCCCTACGGCTCCCGCTGTTGACGGAGCTGTCTGGGCTATGTCCCGGTGATTCAGCGATCTAGGGGCACCCTACAGCATGTGGTGTTCGGGGAATGATATACCAGCAGCTGGGCCACGAGCCACCGAATCGAAAGTTTGACGTTCCACCCCCTTAAAGAGTTACGAATGACCTTGCAGCGATCCCCGTGTTATTGCAGGCTTCGATGTACAATTTGGCGTCAGCGTCGTCTTGGCAATGCTCCGAGAGTGATGCGTAATGCTACCAAGACTTGTGTAACTGCTACCTGTCCAAGCCGCCAGGCTCTGAGCACCGCTCCAGGAAAAATATGCCTCGACGCCTGCGGCGCGCTGGGGAAAGGAACGGCGCGAGAAGCACTTGAGACCTTCCAGCAGTTCGCAAGGACTGGCGCGCTTGAGCCTTCCATACAGTCGAGGCTGATTAGTAGGTCGGCCCTGTCAAATTAAGGATGCCATTGCGTCATGTGCGGTCGCGGCCCATGACTTCTACACTCATATGGCAATGTGGCTCTCGGAAGGGTCTTGTGTCCTCTTGCGTGTCCTCTCCAATCAGCCTCGGCTGTAGTAGCTCCCAATGTTGGAGGGGCGAGGAATGACCCGAGCGCCAGAGAAGCGTTGAGTACTTGGCACACGGTCTGGGCTGCGGCAGTATCTGAGCTCCTTGAGTTTGCACCCGTGCGTAGATGTGTGAGCTAGGCCAGTGCGAACCTGGGTTGATACGGACGACGTCGTGACAATGGCAGTGCTTAGACGGACTGTGTGCTTCCGTTCCAACGTGCAGCCAAGCATATGTGGGTAGGGGATCGGAGACAAGTAGGCAGTTGAGAGTACAGTAGCTTCATGCGCGCGTGCCGTGTATAGAACGAGGTCAGAGCAAGAGAAATTAGCCCAATGAGGTCGCTTAGGTAGTGCAGACCACCACTGTTCAGCGGATTGACATGAATACGAATGTTCCTTACGACTCCAGCCCACGTAGCCTGTACACGGCGATCCTCTGAGCACATATTCGGCTTGGTCGCATGTGCAAAGACTCGACGCAAGATCCCCGACGAATGTCACAAGGACGAGCCAGACCTCCAACGCCTCCATTTGTCAACACGCGCGATCCCCAGGGCCCGCTTGTCATGCCGAGAAATATGCGTTACGGTCCCAGGGCCCAGCGAAGGCCCCCAGAGGCAGAAAACGGCGAGATAAATCCGTTTTGGTTTGATCTTGACGTTGTGTGTCTTGGCTTCGGGCCGCAACTCGGGCCTCCACCGGCCGACAGGGACCAACCCGGGCACGCCTGGAACGCTCTCGACGAGGCACAGCTGCTAGCAAGCACCCCGAAGCGAAAAAGCCCCCAAGAACCGACGAAAATGCCCAAAAAGGCACGGGAACTTGGGAAGCTCGACCTTCGACCCTCACGTCCACGTAGAGGTCCGTGTGGAAGTGCCGGGCTGCGGCGGCACGCCCACTGGAGAAGGCAGCGGGCGCCGGCCTTCTCTGAAGGCGGGAGGGCTTCTGAGGAGCCCCGCCGCTTTGTGAGAAGGCTGGCACCATCTGCCTTCCCCCCAGGGCTCCGCCGCCGAACCAGACAATGAGAAGGGAGGAGAGAGGAGGGACGAGCACGAGCACCAGGGCGAAGACGAGGACGAGGACGAAGACGAGAGAGGAGCCAGGATCCAGGAGCCAGGATCCAGGAGCCAAGAGCCAGGAGCAAGGAGGGTGGAGCCAGGAGGGAGGACGGAGGAAGGAAGCAGGCATGGCGGCTGCGACCACCCCTAAAAGAAACACGTTAAAGGCGGAGACGTCTGCAATAGAACGGCTTTACAGACGGAGACACTTCCAAGCAATAGATTTCAATGTGAAGGTCTCCACCAAAGGAAACCGAGTGTAAAGTCGCACGAAGGAGCTGCAGGTGTAATTCACACATTGGGAGTCACTGTGTAAATTGCCGACAAAAATCCGATCTGAAAAGCTGCACAACAAGATTCGATGTGCAATCCAGAAAATAGAATTACATATGCACCTCGCGCCACCTCGAGTAACATCAGATCAAGGAATAAACCAGTTGTATGATAACGTGTGGCATAATATTACCAGAATTAAAGCCGCGCGTAATAAAATCAGATGAGGGATGGAGCCACTTCTCAAATAAGCATCGCTAGTGGAAACCTATAAGAGGTGGATCCACATTTAACAGAATCTCAGTAAGGATGGAACAATGCATTTAAAATCGCAGTAAAGAAAAAACCGAACTTAATCTTATGAGAGGTTCATCCACCTCTACCGGAATCCTGTTAGCGCCCTCTGCGTCCGATAACAATAAGGCAAGAACTACACTTCCACCTCGTCCGTCTTCGATAAGCTCGTTTTCTTCTCTTCTTTTCTTCCCTCATCGAACAGGCACAGATACTCACAGCTTTCCTCTCTCGCAATCTGCGTCTTGGGAAACTCCCAGAGGACCAATATGGCCCCGAGAGGGCCACGAAATAGGCTGCAGGCTACAGTCCGCTTCTTAGGTAGCTTGCGCAGCGATGGGCTGCCGGCCCACGCGCTGCGGTGATAGCACGTTTCCCCTTCGCTAGACGCAAGCGGCCGAAGGCATCTATCACGGCATCTGGACGCTTTTGCTCGCACCCACGCACGTATGCCAACCCCGTTCTTCCTGACACGATAATTATCTCTCTCATCCGTCTGGGCCTGCGCGCCGGCCGGGCCGGCTTGGAAGCCCGTCGCCG